CACAACATGGCGGTGGCGGCGGTGGCAGCAACAATAAAGTTATGCCTTCTTTCTTTGCGTGAACATTTGGGCGGTGTTATGCAAATCTTCCCACACAGTGACGTAGACATGTGGGGGCGTGTTTAAACGAGGCGTTTTAGGAGGGCGTGGACCAGTCTTAACTTTTATAAAGAATATCTCTTTGGATTTGAGACTTTAGTCTTTGCAACTTTAGGGATCTTATCTATGCACGAACAAGTTGTAACACTCCAAAGAGAAAGGAAAACTTGAAATCGCATCATATGACCCCTTTAAGAAAGATCTCGATTTCAAATAAATGCTGCTCTTTTAAACTTTTCATTCATCAAAGAATCCTGAAAAAAAAAAGTTTCTATCCCACCAGTTAATTGATAATAAGAAATGTGTCTCGAGCACCAGCATATTCAGCATATTAGAATGATTTCTGAAGGATCATGTGACACTGAAGACTGAAGTAATGATGCTGAAAATTCAGCTTTGCAATCACAGGAATCATTTATATTTTAAAATATTTTAAAATAATTTTAAATTGTCATAATATTTCACTTTTTTTACAGTTTTTTTCCCATTAAATTAATGCAGCCTCTGTGAGCATAAGAGACTTTCTGAATCTTACTGATCCCAAACGTCTGAACAATACATCTTTTTTTTTCATAAGCACCTAAAAGCAAAGTTTATTATGATTATTGTTGTTTTTCTTACTGTACTCCTAATTCAAAACAAAATCCACGGCTAATTTTCCTAGCATTTTGCCTCGATGCCAAACTAAATCCATAGCGACAGTGTTGAATTTCTCTGTGCGACAACAACTGATATACCTTGTGATGTAATTTCCTGCATAACTAAGTTAAATTGTCATGCAGAAGAATAATACAATAACTATCCATGCCTCGGCCCAGACCTACTGTACCTCTTATCAATTAAATTTGATAAGAATGTTGTTGAAGCCCCTTAACCACAGTCCTAGTGCTAAAGACATTCACTTGAACAGGAACAAATGCAAGAACCTGTCATCTAATCCATTCTTACCGTTTCTTTGCTGTCAGTGTCTGATTGTAGGTGTTCGGCATGAAAGCGATAACTGGACGGAGCAACAGCACTGAGGTGAAATGTGTGACTGACCTGAGGTGAGAATTAAACTGCATTCATTAGTCCTTTGGGAAAATATGCAATGCTGAATAGTGATACATTTGAGTTAAAATCATTGAAACTGTCCAAACTGAAGTGTATGTTTGAACAAACCTTGAAAAAACTGCTGAGGGTCTTATTTATCACCAGTTTCACACCTTCAATCTGCTGTGGAAATACATCTAGACACAAACAATTAAAATGACATCTAACAGACCTTCACTTTTCAAGGTGCCTATTTTAAAGGACTTTATGAAAATGTATTCAAAATCAACAGAGACCTTTACAGTTGCGGTGCAGACCATCAAAGCTCCCTGGGTTAGGCAGCCGTCCATCTCTCCTATCCCACCGTGACAAGGGTTTATCTTGTGGAAAAGGGGAGTTTTGGCGCCCTGGGCGGGTTGACAAGGCCAGCACACTGCCCATGGGAACCCAAAAGCCAAATGAGAGGACCACACACTTTCAACCTGATCCTCTGAACTGTGAGAGACAACAGCAATTTGACATGCTCATGTAATAATAATAATCAATAACATTGCTTCATGCATCCTTAAATAATTAAGAAATAACAGTATTGGCCATATGATGCACATTTCACATTATGGTTCTAAAAGCATACAAGAAATCAAATAATGGAGGGAAATAGTACAGAGATTAACAGTAATATTAATGAATGATCTGCAGATTTGTTAATGCGTTATCAGGAATTAATAATTGCATCTGATCGATGGTCAATAATCATGCATTTGGGAATATTATGCTATGCTTTAAAAGTCTGTCTACTTACGCTGAATAAATGTGGGTTGTGCAATTACAATATGCACAAATTATATAATGAAATCATACTAAAATGCAAGCTTTATACATGCAGTGACCGCTGGAAGAGAGTAAGGTGAAAGGATGCTGAGGGATGTAATAACAACCAGCTGATCAGTGCAGTCATTTAAACAAGAGCAACTATGAAACGCTTCCGTGCAGAAACATACCACTGTTCATTCTACACACCGATGAAAACTCGACATTTGAACGACGAATGAAACGTATTGGCAAACTTGTATTATTAGCACATGATATCTTTCTGATATTATCGAAGTTAGGCACTTTTAATATCAAACTTGACCTTAAATGACAGATTGCGAAGTCACGGGACACCTTCTTTTAGGTTCCTCCTAGTGATGAGAGGTCTGATTCATTTTCGGGACTCGGTTCTTTTGAACTGTTCATTTTAGTGAACCGATTCAAACGCGAATTTAGTCATTCAGTAACGTCGTCACGTGATCCTTGACCTACCACGCTCCAGTAAAACCATCTTTAGGCACATATTGCTGTTTATAACGTGCGTTTATAAAACCGTCATACAATTTAATGTGCAAACAAATGAAGTATTATGCTTTTTGTTCTCTCCAAACGCTCTTGCTCACTCATCGAGACAGTTCTCGGTTCAATGATTCAGTGAGATACACTAAAAAGATCCGACTCAAAAGATCGATTCGCTTTACGAATCGGACGTAGCTCGAGTCGACATGGCAGATGAAGCCACTAGGAAGGCAGTTTCTGAAATTCCGGTTTTAAAAACCAATTCAGGACCAAGAGACAAAGAACTGTGGGTTCAGAGACTTCGAGAAGAATATTTAGCTCTCATAAATGTGAGTTATTCTATTGTAGCAAAAGTATTAGGGAGCTACTATGCTAGCTGTATGAATGAATAAACCATACGTGTCATAGTTAAAAGTGTTCAGTCTTTTTTGACGCTGACAGCCCATCATCAGTATTGTTTGTCATTAACAGTTAGCGTACAAACCATACATAAACTTCATATAACAAAATATGTACGCTTCTTACAGTAATTGTGTTGTCTTGCAGTATGTTGAAAATAACAAAGCCGCTGACAATGATTGGTTCCGTCTAGAGTCCAACAAAGAGGGCACAAGGTCAGTATTTTATTGCTAGTTCTTCAATTTAGTAGTAATTATATTTTCATTAATGTCTTAGAGTTGTATAAATACGTCTTTCTTTGTAGGTGGTTTGGAAAATGCTGTTATATTCACGAGCTTCTCAAATATGAATTTGACATGGAATTTGATGTATGACATTTTGAATTCACTAATATTAATATTCACTAATAACTTCATTTTATGTTTTGTCAAAGTCCAGAGTAATTGTTTTGATCCTAATGTCCAAGATTCCAGTTACATATCCTGCCACAGCACCTGAAGTGGCCATTCCTGAGTTAGATGGGAAGACAGCGAAGATGTACAGGTTCGCTCCATATGTTAATAGTTTTGAATTTTTCATCACAATTTGATATTTAGTTATAATGTATCATTTTTTTTAAATAGTGTACCTTAGTTGTTCAAAAACCATCTTTTGTCACAGAGGTGGAAAAATCTGCCTGACAGATCACTTCAAGCCACTGTGGGCAAGGAATGTCCCAAAGTTTGGTCTGGCTCATCTTGTGGCTTTGGGAGTGAGTTATGTTACATGTCTAAAGTGAAATGTATTATGTCATACATTTCCAAAAAATTATTTGCTGCTTTGAAGTTACTGCATTTCAAATTAATAACTAATCTCTGTTCTTTTCTAAGCTTGGACCATGGCTTGCAGTTGAGATTCCAGACCTCATTGCGAAAGGCATAATTGAACATAAAGACCAGCAAAACAGCTGAAAACAGTAGCAGCCTTTGCATTTCACTGTCTGTCTTACTGATGCAAACACAAATGACACTTTTAACAACAGTGGCTTGCTTTCCCTGTGTTTTCAAATTTTTGTTTGCAACCTCACAGAAAATGTGTACTTCACATTCACATTTCTACATCTGTTTTTTTTTGTAGATCATAGTGGTTCAATTTTTGCAAGGTTTATAATACCTGTCCAATGGGTTATGTATGTTTTTCATCAGTAAAGCTTGGTACCTAAATGTGGGACCGTTTTATTTGTAGGAATTGGGTGAACCTCATGAGGATTTAAAATTAAAAGTTCGAAAGTATGCAAAATTATTTATTTTCTCAGCTGGAAATGTTGCGTTAACAGATTTTCTTAAATGATGTATATAAGGAAAAAAATCTTTTAGAAATTAATTGTGAAATAGATTTCCATTGGTTTCTAATTTGTAAATTAATTAAATCTAACGTGTCTTATGAATCTCAGTGACAGAAAATTACCGGGCCTCAGAGCAATTGCTCCAGAGTGTTAATTAAGGCAATATTTTGTGATTTTTATAAATAACTATAACTCTATAATTACATATTATGTCATGTATCTGTACTTGTTGTTTTTTTTTTTATATAAAAAAAAATTAAATTACAGACGTTCTTTAAATTTAAAAGCATTGAGGCTAATAATAATTTATTATAATATAAAATGTTATTTGCGCAGTCAAACAGTTTGGTGACAAGAATCTGGTCACTCCATCTCCCAAGCTGAATGCTGGAATATATTATGAAATCAAATCTATTTTGTTCTTGGTGTGAACCGGACTAAATCTTAATAATTAATAATCACTGGCTAACATTATGCTATTATGAAATATACCCGTATGCCTATAAAAAGCAACTAGCCATAGCAAACATTCCTACAGGTCCTAGATTTTTATTTTTAGCAAATGTAATCCTCATTACTTTTGCGTATGAAATAAGATCAGGAGTATTTCTATTCATATAGACTGAGTACTGAATTGAGTAAAGGTGACAGGCTCTTTTTATTGTCTGCAATACTGAATGTTTAAAACATTTAAAATATACGTGATTGATCGAAAAAATATCTTTGAAAACAGTCATGCAATCATAGACATTTCAATTTTAAACATAACATCAAATATGGTGGCACATATCAGCAGGAAAAATAATTTGTCAGAGCATAATTGTCAAAGATAATTGTGTGACTGAGAACTATGAGGAAAGTAAGCAATCTTATATATACACAGATAAAGTAGCTTTCATTTCAACCTCAAACATCATGCATTAACACGTGTCAACAAACCAGTCCAACAACCTAAAGAGCGTCCTGAATGATGCATCTGTCCTGATTTCCTGAGAAGTTCCTTAACCCTACTGACTGCACTTGTGTTTGGTCAGGAGAGCGCAGATAGTCTCTCCACACCCCCAGCATGGCTGTACAATATGAGCAGGCCCTAGTTTCAACTTGCACACTGTACAAGTACCTGAGGTGTTTGAATTTGATGGCCCTTTCTTGTTTTGAGCAATGAGCTGTTTGAGTTCATTCAAGATGGTCGTGTTGGGTGCAAGAGCAATATCTGAGACCTCGATGCGCTTTGGGTCATAGACGCAGTCCTCCTCTAGACCACTAGGCACAGCTTTCATGCCACAGTTAGGCGGTACCCAGGCAGTGTCATAGCCCTGACTATGCCACGCCTTCTGTAGAGGATGGTTGTCCTTATCAATTCTTTTGACTTTTCCACAGTCAATGCTTAATTTAAGCACAACTCTGTCAGTAGCTAGGGATTTCAGAGGATAGCGCTCTGCTTTCTTCTGGTCACGGCTCACATAAACTCCAGGTCCCAGCATCCCATCTGCTGATTGTTGGAAGCCTTTTGTTATGATCAGACGAGCTTTTTGCAAAGAGGTGCCGTGATACATGGTATAGAGTCTGCCTGATTTGGGTGCCTGGTCTGCCTGAAGATGACGATCTTCATCATAGAATGCTTCCCAGCCATAGAATGGGATGGATGCCATCCTTTTTCTTGGTATTTCCTGTGGATTAAATGTAATAATAATAATACACTACCAGGAAATGTTTGGATCTGCTCAAACTTTATTCATATTATTTCACATATTTTAGAATCCTAGTCGAGTCAACAAAACTATGAAATACCACAAATGAAAGTATGAAAATGTATGTTAATGACTAAAAATATTAAACGAATCAAAACTATATTTTTGCTTTTTCAAAGAAACCAACTTGTGTTTAAATTACAACTAACCGCTCTAACCTGAAATTTTACTGTTCGAAAGAAATGAATTTTACTTTGGCTTTCATTAATCATTTCATTAATCATCACTTCACAAATCATTTATGCCAAACATCACAACATTTTCAAAATGAAACATAAATTCAGTAAAGTTGTACTGTCAGTCCTTTAGGTGACTTTTGTTGTTTAGATTAAGCTTTGAAGTTTGAACTGAATACGCCAGAACTTCCGCTATATAGTTCGGGTAAAATATGTCATTTACATTTTTATCGATATATGATTAAGACAGGCCTATATTATTCTAAAGGAAAACGTTACATTGTTCTGAAGTAAACAAACGTACCTTAAAATACTCCTCGCAAGTGAACAAGAAATGACATGAAACTCCGCGTCTAAACTTTCTTTTTTTGCTTACACTTTGAAAGCCAACCTTTCACTTTCAATTTCTTCTTAAACACGTTTTCCTGTTGTGCTGATGGAGCAAAAATATATATTTATATGATAAATTAAAATAGTGTTTCTTAAATTCAGTAATCAAGGGATGTCAGAGACTGTAGTTCAGCATGCATTTGTTTAATTCTTCAGAGCTCTCACACTTTTTTAAAGGTAAAATAATGTGATATGTCAATCAAACAGTGTAGACCCGCCTTCTTTTGATAGAATACACTTCATTGGCCAGAAGCGCTCTTACGCATAAACGTGGTGACCAGTAGTGTTGCCATGTCCGCAAATTATAAGCGTTTTCGGGTTGTTGTTAAGAGGTTGGTCAGTCAGTCACTAATAATAGCAGTTTCCCAACTACCTCCACTACGCCAATGATTAATTCCAATAAATGTAGATGTATTCACGATTCACTGATTCATGTTTTAGATTACCAATAGTTGTAAATCTGTGAAAACTATAGAATATTTCAGTGTGATATTCTGAGTTGCCTCTTCGCGTCCTCTTCAAGACATTATAATGATCTCAATTAAACTCCATATTTCATGTTTATTTATTTCGCAAGAAACCATTAAATCAGATTTTATTGTTAATTCGATTTTAATTTCAATACTTATTTTAGTACGGCAAGACGCTTATTTTTCTAGTAAGATCTGGCATCACAGCCGCTGCGTGCTAACTTGAGGGAAACTGGAACGTGGGCGGTGCATGAATATTTTGGCTCTAAAATATTACATCTGTTTTGAAAATGTACACAGTGCTGCTGGTGGAAAATTTCTCGTCGTAATATCTTTATTGCATCTTTTTTTTTTCTCTCCGGTCTTTCTTTTTTTTTTTT